CCTTCCAATTCAAGTATTTTGACTTCAAGAGAAAGAATCTTGACCTTGTTAACAGATAAAACATTCTGGACCAAAGTTAGCTCTCTCTTTAGTATTTTAATATTTGATTTAAGTGATTTGACTTTGGTTTCAAGCTCAATATGGAACCTTCATTCAGAAATAAATTTGGATCTAAGTTCAGTACTAGACATATTTAACTTGCTAATCTTATTATCAATATCAGTATAGATTCACTAAAACTTTTTTTCATCTAGAATACTCTGAATTTGTAGCCTGCAACCTTTTGTTAAGATCATTAATTTTAGAGTTATATTTTATAGTAGAACTTAATTTTTTTTGAGCTCTTGCTTATATATACTACCCAGCCAGTGTCTAGTACAGGAAGAGTTTCCTTTATTTTTTTATATATTTTAGTATATGTATATTGAACATAATATTAACATGATTACATATTAGGAAAAAATGCACAAATAAATTTGTGAGATAATAGACTCATTCTATACATTCAGAATAATATATTCTTTCTGAATATCCTGTTTATTCTGTATATCCTATACATCTGAAATATTATCTTCCTATATATCTTGTATATCCTATATATTTAAAATAATACATTCTTTCTATATATCCTATTTAATAAATTATTTTGGAGTATTATATTAGATTAAAAAAAATATTGCTACAATGCTTAGACAATGTATAAGATATGATGCCTCTCTTTTTTCATTAGCTGATTATGATTATATTATACAATATACTGAAAAAAGGCATAGAGACAAAGTTTTAAAGGATTTAATAGATCAATATTACACATCACAAAAACTTATTTATCAGATCTGAAGAAGTGAAAAAAAAATAGGATTGTATGGAATCAACCAATTCATATGTTAACAGATTTGCTTTCTAATATAAATCTTATGAGCGGACGGTCTAAATCAGAGATCCAAGGCCAAGATGTTTTTCTATTTGCAGAACTGGAAAAAAAAATATGTGATGCTAAGGTAGAGCCTAGCAAATCTACTGATTTAGCTTTAGAAGAAGGAAGTGGTAAGGCAAAAAAAACTGGAAGGAAAAAATTAAAGCCTAAATTTGTTTAGATTTCCAAATAGTCTACTGTTCAGACTCAATTAAGTCTAGCTTCAAAGAAGGATATAAATAAAGAGAAATTGCATGCATTATATGATGAGATGGTATTGAAAGAACTGAAAAAATTTAGCAAACTAGAAAGCGTAACTTTGAAAATAACTCACCTATTCCTTAAGAAGTTCATTATAGAATGTTTGTAGTCTTTCATAATTCTCATTAATTTTCACATTATACTTGAGAATATTATATAGCATTTTTTGAGCTCCTCATAACTCACTTTTTTTAAATAAATTATTCTCGCTTAAGTCCTGCAAAATACAGTCTAGGGTCAAGAAATCATCACATATGGGAGTAGTGATCATGCAATTTACCTTAAGCTTATTCTTAACCTTATGCATATTAATTGGAATAAAAAATTCCTTACCATTACACTTTAGTCTCAATTCTTGCTTTAATGTAAGTAAATCATAATTATAATTATCGAGAAGTGTGTTAGGTAAGATTAGAATATTTAACTACTGTAAAATTAGCATATATAGTATATTTGGGAGCAAAATTTACTGGAATATTTCTAACAATTCTAAAGAACTCTGTAGAAGTAGTAGCAATAACTCTAAGATCATGTTTTCTTTTGTATCAATTTCTAGCTTTGATCATTTAGATATATCCTTAGACATGATCAGGAAATTAGCATCAGGATCAATTGTACCTGCTAAAACTTAATTTTATATTAACAGTGATAATATCTGTAATTGGTACTTTTTTTTAGATGAAATCTATTTACATAGGGTTATCGATGAACTCATCATCCTCAGAATAAGTCAGTGTTAGCATAGCAGACATTTGTATAATTGGTTAATTTTATGCTGATCATTTTTAATTAATATTAAAATAGTTGATTTTGATTGGTCCAATTTTAATATTAAATTTAATATTTATGTTATTTTTTATTTTTTATATTAACTTTTCATAAATATGTCAAGTGCTATTTTAAATTGATATTTAGTTGAGAATTAAATAATGGTTGCTTTAATAACTCTTCAGGTTTATCATTTTCTGCAGATTGAACTTCATTTTCTTGATCAATTTCAGCTTTAGAATTTTTTTAGTAATTCTACAAATAATAGATTTTATATTATTATTAATTTCATCTGTAAATAATGTAAACACTTATTTTCAATATATTGTAAACAATATTGATGATAAATATGACCATTTGAAAGAGAAATTATTATATGTGATGTAGATATTAATTGTAACACTTGATATGAGTTATAAAGATGACAGTTTTCTAATAGATCAATTGGCAGATAATCTAAACTAAAAACCATTGGTAAATGTGAGGTTTGCTAGAAAAATAGGACTCTGAGCATTTTTTATTAAAATTTTAATGTTTATTGCATTTTAATTTTTGATAATGTTAATTAATATGCAATAAAAATTAAAATTTTAATAAAAAATGCTCAGAGTCCCATTTTCTTAGCAAACCTCCTAAATGTTATTCATCCACATCTACAGTCATACCTCTCTATAGCGAATTTTTATATAACGAATTTTTTGGACAACTATATTAAATTTACCTTCATTATAACGAACTAGCCAATCAAATTCTTTAAAAAATTCACTATAGCTCTATAGCGAAGTTGAAGTTCAGGACATAAAATTCATTATATCAAGGGTTGACTGTATATTAAAACTTACAAGATGACATGAAAGCTTATTTTTGCTATATTGATTAATTTTTGTCTATTGCTTTTTTCAGTATTATATTTAACCTTTATAAATAAATCTAAAAGATATATAGATGTTTTGTTAGTTAGTCCTATTAGATCTTCTTTACAATAAGAATGCTTTCTTGTTATAACAAATGTATTTAAAAATACATTATCATTGCGAAGATGATTAATAACATATGCTATTCTTGAAAGTTGTTCATGTGCATCTGTTTCTTTTATTTGTCATTGAATTAATGAATAATAATTCTCTACAGGATAATCATTAAATACCACCAGGTGATTTTTTAGAACTTCAAGAATAGAATGATTAATGCTCTCACAATACTAAATATTTGAAAGAAAAAATAATGGTGCTTTATTATAATTTCTTTTTTTAAATTAAGTAAATAAATACCATATTTTCACACAAGTCTCAATATATGCTTGCCAGTTGCTTGATCTAAAAATTGTTGCATAAATATTCAGAACTAAAAAAATAGTATCATCTAAAAGGGTTTTTAATAAAAAGTATTCTACATCTCTAGAACAAGATAATTCAATTTTTTCTTTAGGGAAGTAATATAATACATATCATGTCATTATAGGTTACTATAATCCCATTCCCCCCCCCCCCCCTGTGAGACTTATCACATGATTAAACAAATAGCCAATCATCTTTAAGTATTATTATATTATTTGAAAATCAAATTAAAATAAAAAATTTTTTATTAGCATTATTAATAAATTTTTTTAATGTTATCTTTTAAAATATTAGCTTAGAATAATCTAATAAAAATGTAATAAAAATTAGTAATAAAAAAAATGCATTTTTCGTAACTGTTCATATGTGATTCATAATGGTTACGTTTACAAGATTGCGTTTATATGATCATGTTTACATGATCACGTCTATATAATTGTCTTGATTTCTTTATTCAAAATCTTCTTAACATGCAAGCTTTTCTAACTACTTCAAAATATAGCAAGTCTTATATTTATAAGACTCCTACAAATCAACACCAAAGATTCTGCAATGTTTTCGAATATTATCGTATGGTGAATGCAAAAAATCCTATATATCCAAAGTTAGTTTATGCACAGAATGTACTGATGCATAGAAAGAGATTCGATATAAATCTCAGAAAGAAATTGAAAATAAAATCAGAGAATACTTAGAAACCCCAATTTCAATGCAAGGTTTTTTGCAGGTTAACCATACATGATTCAGCCCATCTCAAAGCTCAAAGTCCATCCAAACCAATCAAACTTTTCAAAAAACAATTGAGGAGAATATTGTAACAAATACTGCTCTGCCTCCTAATGCTACTGCACAAAAAAAAGCTGCAGAAACTATCAATGTAACCAATATGAAGCTTGCTGAACTTCAACGAATTTACAATCTACTACTAACATGGAGATTCGGAATAATATAATGGAATGCATGATAACTCTCAAGCAAGTTTTACATAATGAGGATAATAAGGTTAGAAAATTAAAGCGTCATGCAGAATACCAATGAAAAAGTAGGACAAAAAAGCTAAACTTTTACAAGAATATCAAGAGGTGATAAAATATGATTCATCTGGTCATCCACCTCTTTTGATTCAGTATCCTGATTTATATGAGCATATATATGAAAGTATTAAATTCAGAGCTGCAGACAAAAAAAGGAGAAAAGAGGTCATTAAAGTTAGAACTATTCAACATCTTCGGAAGGCTCTCAATTCAAAATATAACGAATATCTTTCTCGCACTACTCTTAATAATTATTTGTTGTCATCTTGATCAAATATTATAGCAGCAAAGACTCATCACCACCCAGCTATTATTGCAAATACATTCATTTCACGAAATAAAAGAAATGAGCACATTGATGAACATTATTGTCTTGCATTCGTAAAAGGAGCAAAACAATTTGCAGCCTTATTTTCAACCCATTCTGTTATCGTTTCCTAAGACGATAAAGCCAAGATTCCTCTTAGTATTCCTGCAGTCGGAAGAACCTTTCAAACCATACAAAGTTTTCAAGAGCCAGTTACCTTACCCGATTACGATTTTCTGATTGGTATGCAGCAAAAGTTTATTCTGTCAGTTTACTTACTTATTAATCCAAGCGATACGAATGACACTCTCCGTAATGATCAACTTTCAATTTTTGTACACCTATAATATCAAGTTGGTACAAGCTCAACTACCCATATGAGTGACCTAAATTTACTAATTAGAGAAAGTTATTTTAATGGAATATTAAAAATTGACGGTCAGATCAAACCCATTTGGATCCTTTTAGTCGATGAAGGTCCAGATGAAAATCTGCACTATATGAAAAATATTCTTCAATATTGTAGAATGTTCCACATCTTCGATCTTAACTATCTTTCCATTCAAACGCACACATCCGGTCAGTCAGTGTTTAATCTCATAGAGTGTAGTATGGCAATACTCTCTCAAAAACTAGCCAGCATAATATTGCCAATTGACAAATACGATTTTCATTTCAATTCTCAAGGCCAGGTAGTAGATTTGGAGCTTGCAATGAAAAACTTTTGTTATGCTAGTGAGGTTTTATGTACTCTTTGAGAATATAACCTTATCCATAGGAAATCAGTTCATCACGCAATACATCGATCAAAAAAATCCTCCATTCAATGATGTCATATTCCTGGATCTAAAAAAGAAAACACTGACGAATCAGCAGTACCCTGGCAATAGCTAGAAAGTCATACCAGAATATGTCAATACATACTTGACATTAAGAAATGTGAAAATTTTTCTTGTTGCTCACCTAAATGGCACGAAGAGGTAGCAATTTTCCTTGTGGAAAATGATGGATTTCTCCCACCTAAAGTTGCTAGATGAAATCAAGAGTTTAGACAGACGTCTAAATGGTAAAAGTAAAACTTGGTTAAATTATATTAAAACCTTATTAAAAATTTGCGAAATTTGGAAAAAGATAAAACTATATCAAAGCTTATAAAAATGGTGAAACTATATCAAACACTTAGTAAAAATTTAGTGAAACTAAAGGTTTTACCGTTTTGCCAAATCCAAAATGAGTTTAGACAAGTAACCTTACTCCCATCTGTAACAAAAGGAAAAGATAGTCATTTCTTGAATTCACTTCACATATTAAAATATTGTGATAAGCTTAAAATACCTTGGTATGATACCCACTGTCCTTCCATTAGCTCTAGTACCTATAATCGTCTCTGTTGTTCCGATTGCAAGGCATACTTTCTGACTCTTTTCCTTATTGCCTTACATAAGAAAAACTAACATCCAAGAAAATGAGAATGACCAGCCAAGCAAAAAAAGTCACTTACCAATTCCATTGATGATTTTTCTGTTGCATCTGCGCGAAATATACAATTTTGAAACTTGAATGACTGGGAAGCGCATTCAGAAGACAAATAAGTTGATTATGAGGTGGTTCTACTTTTATGCCTTTTAAGCTAATAGGAAATAAAAGTAATATTGCAGTTTTTAAGATAATAATAAATCAAATTTTTTTTTGGTAAAAATTTTAAGCCACAATAAGATTACTTCTTTGTTCTGATTGGTTAGACATACAATTACGTGAGAGATGAGATATTTAACATCCCCCTCCCCCTCTCTTATAATGACATAATATGTGTTACTTCCCTTAATATATGATGCAATATTTTTCCAAACATCAGACATTAACTGTAATAGAAGGTTAATATTCTAAGAACAAGATCAATTAGCAAGCTTTTTGTTTATTCTAAAGATATGTTTGTAAGCAGAATTAAAAAAATCATGAAATAATAAAACAATACTTTCACAACTATTGAGAGATATATGCAAAGGATTCATAATCAGAATAAAAGAACTGACACATTCTGAAATTCCTATTTGACAATTCTTTGACTGTTATTATTATATAGTAATTACTCTCTGAGGGTGTATTTAGCTTGGCTAATCAGCAACCAATAGAATAATATTGTGTTGAAGATACTCCTGAAATTCTGAAAAGGATGCAAATATTTCTATAGCCTTAATATATGCCTCTGTTTAATGCAGGTCAAGCTTAATAAAATCTATTAATAAAATATTGTGAAGTTACTGATCTTCTCGTTTATCATAGATATCCTATCATAGGAATGAATGGTTAGATTATCAACTAAATCAATATTGGAAGTCTCAAGTAGTTTTGCAAACTGGTCATTGAATGATTGAGAAAAAAGAGCTATATAAGTATGTTTTATTTGCAAAACCAAAGAATTACTATCGACAAGTAGTGAATTGTGTATGCTATATTGATTCAGATTCATATTATATAAAATATTTTTCAGAATTGCATTTGTTGTAGGTATGGGAATAGCAAGAACGGTAGTCATATAGGCAATGGTACAGTAGAGGTGTAAACAATAGATATTATGATAATTATCAATATTGGCAACTATCGCATTTGTTTGATACCTTAAAAGCTTTTTGTGACATCATTCTTGTGAATAGAAGATATAATATTTTTCTCACATCGATTATCTCTCGACGTGAAACTTAATTCATGTTAGCCAATATATTAATAACTCGATCAGAGATTCCTGAGTGATCCAAAAATATTGCAATATTTTTTTTATTGCACTAATATGTTTATTTCTGATTTCCGCAAGGAAGTAGCATAAGAAAGAGAGACCTTTTTGTCATTGCAAGATTGTATGATCCACAAGGCATCTGTTATTCAGATTTATCAACTTCTCAAGCATATTGAAGAATACTATGAGACTATTATCTTTGGACTTCATATTTGCTCAGAGCAATTTCCAATCATAGATCGGTAATTGCTTTTTCTTTTTTCTCTTGCATAAAGCATCTAAGTCATAGATTTAATGCTATCAATAAAAGAAATCTCACAAACTCGTTTTTCACTGCTTATCTTTAATGTTGAGTTAACATCTTCTGTTATCAGCTCAGATTTTCTAACATCATCAGAACTGATCCTCTTCAGTGTCTGATCAGATTCTCATCATCTTTTTGAATTAATTGTATTATTAGAAGATCCAACATTACTGTTAATAATATAGCTCATGTAGTGTTTATGACGAAATTGAGAAATGTATAGTTCTCAAGTAGGATCTAACGTTTTATGCTGTATGGTTTTGTGTTTGGCATCTTCTATGAATCTTCTAAACTTTGTTTCAGACCCTTCTGCTCCACAAATAATGCAAGGTCCAACTAGTTTCTTCTGTAATTACTGTTGCTGAGTTTTCATGTATTCTTTGAAAAGGTTAAAAATACTAGTTGAATAAATATGCGAATATGTCTAATTAGTGGGATTAATTTTATCAAACCGCTTTAATGGATATATAGGAATGAATTCTGATGGTTTTTTTTATTATTACGTAAAATGATTATCAAGATTCTGTTATTGTTAATTATTACTTTAAACTATATAAATAGTTACATTATATATTTATTGCATAATGACCAATTATGCAAATGTCTGCTATACTGCTGGTGTTTTAAAATTGCTATTTTGCAGGTAAAGGAGGATTATAATAGTGCCAAACCTTTTCATTAAGCATCTTCTCAATAATTTTTTCAATAATTTTTTCTAAGCAGGATTATTTATCCTGTGTTGAGGACTTTGAATTTTGCTTTTCCTTCTTGAAAATAGGAACTAATGCTAAAGAATGTATTTCTGCATCATTTATCTTACGAGACTTGTAAGTCTTTGATTTTTTTTCCATAAAGAAGTACTAGTATTATGTTTTTTCTTCACTTTTTTGCCTGAAATATGTTAACATTAATTTCAGCATCAGCTTCAGCTTCAGATTATAATTCAGAAAGAGAACTCTCAGAGCTAAAGGAGCTATTCTTAGACTGTGATGAAGAATTATTATTATCAGAAGAATCTAAATCTGATTGTTTGTCTACTCTAGCTATATGGACTTAATCACTTTTGGATTTTTTCTTCTTCTTAGACTTATTTTTCAATTTCTTTTTCTTTGTTTTAGAAGATTTATAAGTAAGTTTACAGCTACTTTTATTTATCTTTTTGATTACATTAACCATTTGTTTGGAAAGCTTGGCATAGTTGGTATTAGCAACGTCTAATCTTTTTATTAATTCATCATTAATATAATTATCTAAGGATGTAAGATCTCTTGATACATCAGATAACATTTTCAAATGCATTGCATATATATACATTTTTTCTAAGGCCTTATTATTCTGGGGATTAAAGATGGGAACTGTAATTAATATGTTGCAACTTTTAATGTTGCATCTTACATTGCAATTAGTTTTAACCTATATATGTTGCAACTTATAATATTGCAACATATGTTACAACTAATTTTAGCTTATATTGCAACATTTTGTAAATTTGAAATCAATTGCTGTACCATCTTTACTGGGGATGCATTTGAGCCAGTTGAGCTAATTACACTTGTAAAGATGCTATTTTGTTATTTAACTTTTCAATCTCAGCCGAAATAGCATCTTGAGAATTGGTTTAATATAAAGGTTGATGCAGAGTCGTTCCAAGAATTTGCTAGACACTATATCTTTCAATTTTCTCTAATTTCTTAATTAATTTAGAAAGAGTAGTCTTTCAATTAGTCTTATTTTTATTTGGTTATCAGGCTTAAGGCCTTAAAAAAATTGTTGTTTAACTAATTCATCTTAATTTATAGTAGGAAGTAAAAGGTATACCAATTTAACTATTCTCTTTAAGTTAGCAAAGAATCGCCTTATAGAATCATTTTCTTAAACAAGATTTTGGATCTTAACTTTAGATTTTTCGGCAGTAATCGTAGGAAGTCATGTAAAAAGATATGTATCTTCTATCCAATAAACGTTTCAGGAGCTATAACATTATCACCAGCTTTGGCATTTGATGTATTTGGGGCTAAATGTGTCAGATAACTACCTGATATAGACCAGTCTTCTTCCTAAACAGTATGAACTAGTATTAATGGATTGGCAATTGCATTATTATCAGCTAATACAGTATTTCTTATATGAAAAGCATCACCTCGAAACTGATTAACATAATAGTATGCAATGTATTATTATTAGCCAGACCATTAATATCACTAATATTTGCAAGACCAGTATTATTGCTAATATTTTGCAATTTCTAATTTCTGCTATTAATCTCAGTTTTATACCAATCTTTTGCATAATCTAGTAAACTTGATTCAAAAGTCCATTAATGCGAATTCAGTGCTAATAGTCTGCATTCAGATAATGATTAGGAGAAGCTTTACACTATTGACGTAAATTCTTATATAATTTGCTAGATCTTTATCAGCTAAACTATAAAATTTTAAAGGTGAATATCCTGCCATACCTATATAGGTGAGTTATTCTGAAACACCAAAATTTGTGTCTGCAAATTTAAAATATTTTGGTCTTTTTGCCTAATCACTTGCTGGAAAACAAACTTTTCACGTAGTAATTTACCAATGTGAGTTTATTTTCTCGTTATAATGATTAACATTTTATTTATCTTGTCTTAGACATTAGTCTGCAACTGTTGGGTATTTTGCTGAAGACAGTTAATATTTTGCTAATACAATAGCTGTTTAGCAAAATTTTTTCATAATAATTCT